CTTCTCCAACACCACATTTCGAAACTTTCCAGATGTTTCTGATCTACTGCCCTAAGTGTCCATGTTTCAGCCCCATACAGAGCTATGCTCCAAATGTAGCATTTCACTAGTTTCTTCCTCAAATTTACGTCTAATTTGCTGGAACAGAGAGTCTTCTTGTTGCCAAATGCAGCTTTTGCCATGGCAATCCTAGATTTAATTTCACAAGTACAACATCCATCATCTGTTAACAAGCTACCCAAATATTTAAAACATTTCACATTCTCCAGTTGTTTTTGGTCTATCTTTATTGTGACTGGGGTTGGTTGTCTCGAAATTTTCATTACTTTTGTTTTTTCCACATTCATTTCCATGCCATAGCACCTTCCAATTTCGATTAGTCTATCAATCATACCCTATAGCACAGTTCCTTCCTTAGCCATTAACACAAGGTCATCTGCATATTTCACAGTTTGATAATTTGCCCTCCTAATTTGAAGTCTCCAAACCAATCCAGAGCTTCTTTCGTGAGGCATTCGCTGTACAATTTGAACAGAATTGGTGATAAAAAGCATCCTTGTCGAACTCCTCTTCCAATCTGCACACTTCTTGTCTCCCCTCTTTCCAGTCGCACTCTAACTTTCTGATCCATGAAAAATTTGCTAATCAATCTTCTTTCCCGCCAATCGATACCTGTTCTTTTAGGATCTGCATTAATTTGGTCCAATTTGCACGGTGCGACTGACCGTCAGTTAAAATATATAAACGTTTTGTAACAAGGGCTGTTTAACTATTTCCTGCAAGGTACTCAGTATTCCAGTGTCCCGAAATAACTATGCCATAAGAACTACATATAAATTCTTACAGAGAATTTAAAAATAAAATCCGTCTTACCGTTCTATCATTTTCGAGGAAATTAACGTTTCGCTTTTGAGCCCTAGATCGCGGCTCTTCCATTCCTGAAGATACAGCCTATGCAGTTTTATTTAGGGCTTACCCACAAATAACTTAAATTTCATCAAAATCGTTTGAACCATTTACAACAAAATCACCATTTATTTTTTTGGAGCCCGCCTCAAGGACCTGTAGTTTTAGAGGTAGAATATTCACATTCGCCGGGTGCCGATCTGTGATTGATAAGTCTTAAATACTGAATATGAATAAAATTCGTCCAGTTGTTCAGGTTGTAGCAAGGGGCCCAATCATCAGTACATAAAGCTGCAGATAGACAGGCGGCATTCCGAAACCCGCATTCTCATACTACGTGTATAAGGAAGTGATAGTAGGGCTTGCACATCAGTTGTGTCAGAAACTATTCAGTAATTCATAAACGCAATAAATAAATATCGACGCCATAAATATTTCAGTAAATCTTATTTTGAAATTAATGTTTACTTGCCAGATTGAAATTTATCGATGTTTTGCAGTGAACTGTCTGGGAGGTGTCTCGGAGGAAGTTGTGAGATTTTTATCTGGATAAATGTATTGCATTTTCCGTGTAACGTCGATTGAACTACCTTAACATAATTGAAATTCTGCATATTTAATGCGCAAAAATTATATTTTCAGAAATATTTATCTGCAAGAAGAAGTTCGTAATACACACAAATTTTGGAGAATATTCGCATACCTGGGTGACATACAAAGCAGTGATGACGGGAAGGGAGGCGCTGATGCCTGCCGCAATTCTCCACGTCGTCACATTTCCCATCAGGTACACAACAAAAAAGCTCATTTGTACCATTATGCCTGTAAAACAAAAAAAAAAAATGGTTATGGTTTGGGGCACTGTGTCAGAAAGACACGCAGAAGAATCTTTGAAGAATACAATAAATACCAATGCACTGCTTGCTGCCTTGAATCTCCCCTTGCTCATGAAGATCATTTACAGCAGATATAAACTTGAGGGAATTGAAGCCAGTTACACTCGGAAAGTTTCAATCTCCTAATCTGATATATTTTATTTAGGAAAACAATATAAAATTCACGAAACAGAGAGAATTTATGAAATATAAATAAAACAAATCAAATTTAAAGAGAATTTATTTTGCTCTTCAAGTAAAAATTGTCCCTTTCTTTTATTCTTTTAAGTAGATTACAACACATGGTAAAGACCCACACCTGGAAGTGAAGTAAGGAGAGCTCTAAGGTCGGGCTGGCAAGTTTCGGCGATATAGGTCATAATTGGCGCTTCCATGAAGCCAATCCCTATCCCTAGAATAACATTAGTGATGTACAACATCGTCAGTGAGTTGGACACACTGTAGAGCACCCAGCCCAGTAGGAAGGGAGCGTTCACTATTATCATGGACCATTTGCGGCCGAAAAACTCGACGATCGCACCGGACATGACGCTACCAACAGGCTGGCAAATGTAAGCGATGCTTCCTGGAACAGTGATGAAACGAAAGCATGTACACTTGAAAGTAGAAGTACAAGCGAAAATAAATAAAAGGAAGAATTGGGTGGAATGAAAGTAAGACAAAAGAAAGGAAATAAACTAGATGGGAAAACTGGAGGAAAATATTATTTTGCCCTCATTTCCCGTTAATTCGTAATAGAATAACCAAACAAAGATGCTTCATGGCTCTCCTCTCCTCTGCAACTTGTAATATTATTACCCAACATGACGTTTCTTAGCTGATGACCAACAGTGCCTCCCCTTCCACCACGTGATATTGTTACTAAGTCAATACTCTTTGTGGCTGTTGATATACAGCTTCTGTATTTCCTTAACAGTGTTACCAAGCCAAGATGCTTCGTTGCTGTTGATAGACAGCTTCTGTATTTCCTTAACAGTGTTACCAAGCCAAGATGCTTCGTTGCTGTTGATAGACAGCTTCTGTATTTCCTTAACAGTGTTACCAAGCCAAGATGCTTCATTGCTGTAGTTAGACAGCTTCTGTATTTCCTTAACAGTGTTACCAAGCCAAGATGCTTCGTTGTTGTTGATAGAGAGCTCATCCTTCCCTTCTGCAACTTCGGCGTCTAATAGCGCCGCAATCACGATGGTGGTGAAGGCGAAAGACATGCAGAGGTCAAGCACCAGCAGATGGATAGCCAAGTTGGCCAGCACCTGCAAGAAACACAAGTTTGGAGAAACGAACGAGCAGACCGTCCATATTTGGCAGTATTATTAAATGGAAACTAAATGAATTGGCTTCTAGCTATTTTATGCTATATAATGTGATCATTTATAACATAAACAAGGATGAGAAATTGTGAGGTAAAAAAATAATCATGCTATTTTAATGAACGTGACATCCTCAGTGGATAATAATCTGACGAGGAAATGTTCGTCTGTTGACACATCAAAATTGCGAATTCGATACGACATGCATAATTCTGCACCTGCACCACTTGCAGACGCGGATATGGTACAGAACAATTTTCAGTTACTGGTGCACGATCGTTTACAGACGATAAAAGGCACATACGGGTGTGGAAAAAAATCATGGAAACATTAACAAACTGAGGAATAGAATTTGTGTTCGCTACATTGAAACAACTTCAGTTGGCAACGCTGAAAGTTCTTCCATTTGTTTACACTTTGTAGGGCTGGCGTCAGTGCATTAGCGATTGTGACGAGTGAGGGTCTGTGTGAAACAATTGGAAAATATGAGACTTGTTCGGTTTTGAAATAGGACAGATCATTGTGGCGCGTTTAGCTGGAACATCTGTGACAAATCTGCCATATTATTAGGTGCATCGAGAGGGACAGTTTTTAAGGCGATGTCGTTATGTCGGCATACGCGAACCGGGAAGACAACGTCATCATCCGGGGCTGGCACAATATGCCAATTACTGGTCGGCGTACCAAGTGGACTCAGTGTAACCCCACCTCAAGAAACTTTAGAAAACTCGAAGAAGTTCTTCAAGAAGAATGATATAAAATTCCACTAGAGTCTGTTCGAAACTTGCAAGAGTCGATTCCAAGGATTGCGGCTGAACTGAAAGCAAAAGTAGTCCAGAGTTATATTAATAAAGAAATGTGTACATCATCTGTAGTGCTTCCATTACTTTAACCAACGCCTGTCTGTGCATAGAATGTGTTGCAGTATAGTACTTTTAAAAGTGACTATTTCCTCTCACACAAAATTTTCCTGACCTGAGAAAACCTGGTTCTAAAAACATTCTGTTTGGCAGGGGTGTGACCTTCCCCAGGCGTGTTGTCGCCTTCGTCACCCAAACTACAGCTCTCTCCTAGGTCGTATGGATGCGTCCTGCAACAATACACACGATTAATTTACCGTGACTTTGTTTGCATTCGGCAAGACTGCGTTAATAATAAGCATGACACTTGAAGTGCTATAAAGTAAGTGTAGATATTCTCATAAAAACGCAAAGTCGATTATTCGAGAACGGTCGTGCTTACCTGGAAGGCTGCTCGAAGCGATACTCAGTACCACGATGGTCCCCGTGCGATGGCATCCTCAGTGCGCCGGTCCTGGATCCCGACTGTGACGCTACATCTTATGGATGGGCTCACCATTTGATCTCATTACTAACTGGAGAGAGATTGCATCTCAAAAGTACTACAGTGACGGTACTGTATCAAGTGGAACCGTATGGCGTGTTTCATGTTGATGCTACATACATTTAAGAGTTCCTTTTCGAATAACTGCTAGGGGTAGGTTCTAAGCAACGACATAAAGTTAACTGCAAAAACACAACGAGAAGGGTGTAAGGCAAATTGTGTGCGTGGTCAACATGTTTAATCTGAACTGATATTGATAAGATCTGCTTTAGAGAGTCTCCACTAAAGACTGTTACATATCCGGACTAACCTCTGGATACCCGAAGCTTATTTCGAACTTTCAAAATGACTCTTAGTGCAAAAAGCAGGTTCCACAGTGCTGCAGGCAGCACTTGAGGAGGAGACAAATGTTACAGCTCGAAGCCAAGTGAGTCCATTCAGGATACCAATGAGCATATGCTAAGTGCATAGCTTCATATAGGGTCGATATGGATGTAGCTAATTCTGCTAGAGATTGCAGCTATGTAGAAGCTGAGAAAGTCACTGATAACTGTGAGCATAATCGTCTTAAGACTTTAACTTCGATTTACCGAGCCGTGAATGTAATGTTAGGGACAGATGACCTTTATAAGAAACATCTTGAGACGTTACACTTCTTAATACATGAATGCATACTAAGACCACACAGTGCAACAAGTTTAATATTGTAACTTACATATCCATTGCTAGGCAATTGTAGAAGAATTGCCGTTTCTATTCTACGGCCACATAAACACACATATATAACAATAGAGGAATTAGTTACTATAGGATTCTGACGATGGTGTATAACACACTGATATGTTGGGATTTTGGACTTTATCCATCGTCCTGGTTTTTAAGATAACAAATAAAAACACGACGTTTCGGAAACTGGATCTGTTTCCGTCCTCAGGTGAAGGAATCACCTCAATCACTGGACCAGTCATTGAGGCTAGCTCTTTCTAAGGGACCCAACTGAATAGGTGTTTTCCTTCACCTGAGGACGGAAACAGATCCAGTTTCCGAAACGTCGTGTTTTTATTTGTTATCTTAAAAACTAGGACGATGGATAAAGTCCAAAATCCCATCATATCAATAGAGGAATTGCTAGGGTACGGTATTCTGAATGTGTTTTCTGTGTGTGGTGCGTGCCGAAGATTTATAGGGGACAATTAAGGTCATTGTAAGAAATCAGAACCAAAGCAGTCACAATAGAAGAGAAGCTACTCTAAGTCCAATAAGGAATGGAGCGAGTCTTAGACAGTCACTGATTGTGAGCTGTTATAATTGAATGTAATTAAGAGTGATTTATAAGAAAAGGTGGCAATAAATCCGATCATCCAATACAGAACCCATTATTATTAGTCACGGAATCCCGGACAAGTGACAATACTGTGACGTGGATGGCGCAACAGAAAGTAGGGGTCACGTGGACTCTGCCATCTCGCGAGTGACGTCACATACCCCCACTCCTTCCATCACTGCGCAACGCTCTGTAAACACCCCCTCCCCCGCGGTGATATATCAGAGGAGCAACTGTGTCAGGCCACCATTGCCGTGGTGACGTAACAAGTGATACCGCGATTACTACACAGCAGTAAACAGCTCTCGACAGTATTGTAAAATCTGTAAATACGGCGTCACGCAACAGCGGTACCTATCACGTAAGTGTTTTCTGTGTTGTCCGTGCCGAGGCTAAATAAGCAGCAGCGAACACTATTCGGTGAGTGAGGATTGAGCCAGTAACGAGTGAGTAACGATTAACCAATCAGTTGAATTGTAGCAGTCGCCGAGTCAGGTTGTATCGAGTGCATGGCAGTGACTACAGGAGAAGTATTTGTGATACTGCCGATGGCAGTAATTGTGAGATTGTAAATTGTGTAATTGTAAGAGCGAATGTTCAATAAATACGCTATATCAAATAAGGCGTGAAGTTACTTCTCGCGTGACATATACCCAACACGTGACAATTTGGTGTCAGAATTGGTTTATAAAACTTGAACACTCCTCGACGAATAATTGAATTTAAAAGTGCATAAAGTGTTACCCTAAAAAAATATAGTGGACACACACCAAGTGTTGGAACTCCTGCGGAATGAATTGAGGGCCGAGAGACAAACTGCCGAGAAAAGGGCTGACGACAGGTTTAAAGCCTAGCGAGAAGAGATGGCCGCCTGGCGAGGAAAAATGGGCACCGAGTCGGGTTGTATCGAGTGCATGGCAGTGACTACAGCAGAAGTAATGCCAGTAATTGTACGATTGTGTAAGAGTGAGAGCGAGTGTTCAGTTAATTCGTTATATCAAATAAGGTGTGAAGTTACTTGTCACGTGACCTACCCAATACGCGACAATATAAAAGATTTTTAACCATTATGGTATGCATCCTTTTGTGTGTCATACGAAACATATATAATGTGACAGTCTACACAACACTAATTCTGAAAGATATTTTAATTAAAAGATATATATACTGTATAAAAACCCACACACCTCCTCCCTTCTCTCCACCGCCCACAGCACTAGCCCCCACCTCATATTACTCGATCACACACACACACAGGTACCCCTTAACAAGCAGCCGGGACTCGACAACAAGACAGACAGACTGAGTGACGGTCACTCGCAGTGTGACTTTGACTTAACAAGCAGCGCAGACAGAACCGCTGTAGTACAGTAATAACACCGCTACAGGGAACTGTATACATGCACAGAATCAAATTTGAATATGTAGGTACACGTACTAAATAACCCAAAGGACTCACTTAATGACAACTCTCACGCTCAAGCTCTGTATTATAATCTAAATTGTTACAGACAACTCTGAAGTACAAACAACCTGAGAGTCATACCCAGAGTAATGCGTGTAACCTTCACGCGATAATAGGTAAACATTATACGTAGATATGCATACATGAGACATTCTACATAATGTCGATCGTAATATATATATATATAACAGAGTACAACTCATTTTCCAAGAAGGTCAAAAACCAACACGACCCTGATTCTGAGGAAAGATCCCAGTATGCAGTTACCTCACATCACAACTGCCACTACCACAGTGGAACAATCAGCAACATATATACGAATATGTAGCGGTCACAAAGCCTTAAATAAGACTTATAATATGTTATAAATATCTTTTTTTTATTGCTAGTGGGGTGGGACTAAGTTACTTGTACTACGGCCACTTCTGGCCTATTGTACCAGCCCCAGATAATAGGTGAGGGTGATTGTGGAGCAATTGGTGGAATGAAGATTGGCAAGGGAAACCGAAGTACTCGGAGAAAACCTGCCCCAGCGCCACTTTGTTCAGGGATCGAATCCGGGCCGCCGCGGTGGGAAGCCAGCGACTAACCGCTTGAGCTATGGCGCGGCCCTTATAAATATCTTAATTCTATTTTTTTTCAATTTATCCTTTTAACATCAAGTTCTAAACTATATTTGAACCTCATTTAAATTAAACTGCATTTGTTAGTATAAAAATTCATACAAACACAGTATGAATTCAAATTGATCAATGACGCAATTCAAGAACTAGCACCAATATTCTTGTACGCCTGAAGATGACCCAAGAAAATGGTCTTAACATGTAGCGTTGCCACCAACAGCTAATAAATTTTGACACAGTAGTGTCTATTTGTCTCTTTCATAAATATTGTTGTACAGACTGTCCAAAACTGTATATCTTTAATATAAACCATTGATTTTTCAAGTTTCGGCCATTAGTGACCTTCATCAGAAGGTACAGTTAGCACCACAAACAAATGCTTTACATATATGATGATCCATATATGACAACTTTGTTCATGAGATATGTAAAGTATTTCGTTGTAGTGTTGGCTGTGCCGTCTGATGATAGCCAGTAATGGCCGAGATTGGTAAAGGCAATCTTCCATATTAAACCTGTTGCACTGTTCAATCAAAGAAAACCTCATATATTCGCAGCAGGCAAAAGTAAATGGAAGTCCAGCTATCAATCCAGAATTATTCGCATTTTCTTTTTTATTTGTTTGTTGAAAAAGTAGGTCCACTCGCAAGACCGCCTATGTGGTCTATTGGGTAGAGTTCCTGGCTACAGATCCAGAGGTCCGGGTTCGATTCTTGGGGCTACCATTTTTTCAGAGAAGTAGTGGGTCTGGAACGGGGGCCACTCAGCCTCGTGAGCATAATTGAGGAGCTTTTTCAAGGAAATAGCTGCTCCGGTCTAGAAAACCAAATTTAACGGCCGTGGGTATTCGTTGCACTGACCACGTGACATCCTCTATCCGCTAAAGTTGGCACTAACTTCGCCGACAAATGGCGGTTGCTCGGTCGGTATAGTTCGCTTGCGGACTAAAACCACGGAGTGTGTTTTGTTTGTAAGTCTACTTGCAAATATGAAGGTACCTTTTTGTTGAAGAGTACAATTCTATGCCTCAAATTTTATTACAATGAGTAGGTCTGTGTGCGTTTATTCTGTCTGTGTTGTCCTATATGCGGGTAGCGGCCTTGCGATAGACTGATCCCCCATCCAAGGAGTCCTACCGACTGTGTTACGATTAAGAAACTGAAGTGAAACAAAGCTTTTCACGGATGACTTATTCTCCAAAGTGGGAGCACAGGAAAGGGAGAGAGTATTTTATGTTTCAGAACCAAGTGTTGAGGAGAATATTTGAACCTGAGAAAAAATAACAGGAGGATGGGGAAAACTACAAATCCATGAACTTCGGAAGCCGTACCTTTAACGTTTTATTAGAACGGTGTACATGAACGGGATATGTAGAGGGAATGACAGAATTCTTACTATAGGATTCTGACGATGGTGTATAACACACTGATATATTGGGTTTCTGGACTTTATCCATCGTCCTAGTTTTTAAGATAACAAAAACACGACGTTTTGGAAACTGGATCTGTTTCCGTCCCCAGGTGAAGGAAAAGGGGGAACACCTATTCTGTTGGGTCCGTTAGAAAGAGCTAGCCTCAATCACTGATCCTTCAGCTGAGGACGGAAACAGATCCAGTTTCCGAAACGTCGTGTTTTTGTTATCTTAAAAACTAGGACGATGGATAAAGTCCAGAAACCCAATATATCAGACAGAATTCTTATTTGGAATACGTAGAGGCGAACACCTATTTGGGGTACAGCGCTGTAACACGCAAATTTAATAATATTAAAATAGTTAGGGAAAATTGTGGACAGAAAAGCTTGTGGGTCTGAGCGGATTTCGAAAACATGATACTGAAGAACAGAGTATGTACTGGACAGCAGAACGACTTTCGTGTTTAAAAGAAAGCTTACACAATAGGGTTAGGCATCTCTATCCAGAGAAAATTCATTAGCCCTAAGCATGAAACACGCCTTTCGTCCCAACGGATCTTATCCGAGAGAGTGCATTTCCTCTAAATGGCCCCTCTGTTTGCCAGACTTCACTTTTCCGTAATGAGGAAGTACGCCTAAGATCAGATAAATCTACGACAAGAAAGACGGCCTTTTTTCAGTAGCTGGATTTGTTGCCACAAAAGGATAGACACTACGCAGTTCAGTGCGGCACAAAAATTCCAGGGCCGACATGTGAAGACACTGCTTCACCTCAACGACGTTACTGCAGGCAATGGGATGCTAAGGTCATGGCCCACACTGCAGTGTGCTGTATCTGCCTTTAGCCTCTCTGCCTGTCAAGACACGCACCCCTCTTTGCTATTCTGGGGGGGGGACAAACTTCTTTCAAAGTTTTTATGTACCGATGCTGTCAGTGTCAAGACTACATAGAGTCCAAGATAGGTCATTTCATGAAATAGGGTTCATTTGACGGAATGAGAATTGACAGGAGAAAACAAAACACTCAGAGAAAGAAGGCTCCAGTGAAAATTGGTCCACCACAAATCCCACATTATCAGACAAGTACACGAGCAGTGCAATGCTGGCGACCAACCACCTGAGCTGTAGCACGGCCCCAAAACGTGGAAAGTTAAAAATGTAGTAGAAAATGACAGAATTTTTTGACCATATAATTACAGTTTAATAAAAAATTAATTAGAAATAAATTAAATTTAAAAGATACTTTATACCGTTCAGTTCAACATCTGTCATCCTCTGTGCCCTATCTAATTACCTGAAAACTAAAACATGATTATCCCCCCCAAAATGTCTCCATCTTGTCTTGGTGGTGGAGCTTGCGTGACTCTGTGACCTGGAGAGCTATGCTGGCAGTAGTTTAACTATCGGTAGGGTTACCCAAGCGGGAAAGGTCAAAGGGTAGAGTCAAGTCTAAGAGAAATACCCTGGTCTTCCAGGTTGGGGGTTGGGCACGAGGCTAACAACCCCATCATGTAAAAAGAATTTTGTTCAGATAGCTAACAACCAAGGGGCACGCGGTAGCGTAGTTGGTTGAGGCACTATGCTACAAGCCGGAAGGTCGCTGGCCCAAGTTCCGATGAGGTCACTGGATTTTTTCAATTTACCTAATCCTTCCAGCCGCATTACGGCCTCGGGGTCGACTCAGCCTCTAACAGAAATGAGTACCAGCAATTAATTAAATAATTTCCCTGGGGAGTAAAGCGCGGCGGGCGCGTAAGGCTGACAACCTTACCGCCATCTTTGAGCCGATTGTATAGATAATGTGGGACCCTCAACGTCTCACAACTCTATAGGCCTTCACGGCCTGTTACGGGGATAGTTTTACTATTTTTTTACTAACCTAACAACCAGCCTCGTCATCATGCGTGGAACCATTCCTATGGCAGCACTCATTGGTTTTGGAGACTGGTTGTAGAGGAGGCCAAGGCTCACCCTGGGCTGTAGCGCCGAATGGTAGGTAGGTAGGTAAGCAGGCAGGCAGGCAGGCAGGCAGGCTGGCAGGTTATTTAGGTAGGTAGGTAGGTAGGTAGGTAGGCAGGCAGGCAGGTAGGCAGGCAGGTATGCAGGCAGGTAGGTAGATAGGTAGGCAGGCAGGTAGGTAGATAGGGAGGTAGGTAGGTAGGTAGGTAGGTAGGTAGGCAGGCAGGCAGGTAGATAGGGAGGCAGGCAGGTAGGTAGGTATGCAGGCAGGCAGTAGGCAGGTTGGTAGGTAGGTATGCAGGCAGGCAGTAGGTAGGTAGGCAGGTTGGTAGGTAGGTAGGTAGGCAGGCAGGAAGGTGGGTAGGCAGGTAGGTAAGTAGATAGGTAGATAAAACATGATTATAAAGTTACTTGAAGCGTTTGCTCATGAGCGTGAAAATTTATTGTCGGAAGTAAGGACAAGAGATCGAAGGTTTTTGAGAATATGTTGCTAAGCACAGTATCTGGAAATAAGAAAGGGTATGTAACCGGACGATGTATAAAACTAAGAAGACCTTCACAACTTGTAGGTCTACTCTTCATCGAATTCTCTGTGCGATTGAATGACTGGAAGCAAGGTGAGAGAGTGTGCAGTACGTATGGATTTATGGATTTTCATAAGGGCACATAAAATATCTGGATGGAAAACCTGAATGGAAGTGACCCAGTAGGAGTCTTAGACATACATAGCAAAGTAATATTAAAATGTATGATATTTTAGAGAAAGTATATGTGACTACAGAACGTTGCCCCCCAGGCGGGAGCAGAATCCTGAACAACCAGACCAATAGCCAGAAATCTTACTGTTATTAATGAGAACAGAAAGAAGGCAAAAAGAAGCACAAAGTGTGTGATAAGCGGAGAGACGACAGAGAGGGGGAAGATCAGAACAAAAGAACTCCTTGGCCTGTAGTCCACAAGCGAACTATACCGACCGAGCGACCGCCGCTTGTCGACGAAGTTAGTGCTAACTTTTGCGGATAGAGGGTGTCACGTGGTCAGCGAAACGAATCCCCACGGCCGTTAATCTCGGTTTTCTAGACCGGAGCCGCAATTTTCTTGAAATTGCTCCTCAATTATCCTTACGACCCCTTTCCAGAGCCACTACTTCTCAGAAAATCTGTTAGCGCCAGGAATCGAACCCGGACCTCTGGATCTGTAGCCAGAAACTCTGACCACTGGACCACAGAGGAAGTCGGGGGAGGGTTAGAGAGATTGAAATGTCCCCAGATAACACCAATACAAAGCAGGTTGGCTCCTTGGTAAATAGCCTGAATTGTCTGCGGAATGGTGAGCTGCAGTGACGTCACACTGAGATAGGCCACTACGTTCTCTTCTACGGTATTCCAGGCTTCATCATATGTGGCCCAGTCGAGCTCCAATATTATTCAGTATATAAAATTTGAATATGACACAGGCTCTTTAAATGTCAAAACTTGTCCTGTCCTATATTTATTATTTGTTGCTCGTTATTCGTTATCTTTATTAGTCTACAGTCTGCTTGTTATCTCTATTAGTCTAGTTCATATCAACGCGTCTGAATTTCCTGAAACGAAATCACGAAACATGACAAGTAGCTTCCAAATTACTCGTAAATTCCCCAAATCTTTTCTTAATTTTCTTAAATATCCATCGGTTCTGGAACAGGACCGTCTCTGTTTCGATTCTTGGGGCATAAAGAACGAAAGGTTTAACAAAATCACACGCCGAATTAAACTTCAAAAAAATCTGAACAGAAATACACTCTTCTACTCCCACTCGAATTTATGCTCAGAGAGAGGATCTGCTTGCCAAATGCTTCACGCTGTTTTTTTCTTGACCCTGAAGATGGGGTCGACGTATTCATCCGAGACGTCAATTGACTTTCAGCGGACTACACAGCTTTATATCCCAGAAGATGGAACTCTTCCTTCTTATTGTATTTCATACCTCAATACTACTAGTTAAGTTAATTAAATGAGTTCAAACTTAAGCTAGAACAAAGCTACAGTAAGCTTTACAGATATCCTTTTGTCTTATTCATTGTTTATTCAGAACTCTGAAAAAAAAAGAAGACGTTTTACAGCAGTTACTTTCCAACTTTGTTGAAATACGCCATTAGGAAAGTTCTCGAGAGAGAATGGAAGCGAATGGGTCAGTACTAGAAATGTTAACTTCTTCAGTAAAATATAAATAGGTCGAACACAAAAAAAGAAAAAAAAACAGAACCTCTGTAGTAAAGGTTCGGCCACACAGAGCGCTACGTACGCTATGTTTGCTATACGAACAGAAAAATATCTCCCTTTACTGCCAATGTGACTGGCCACACAGACTTCCGTACGCTACGTACGCTATGTTCCTTATGTTAGCTGCGTCGCAGAATGTACACAGCGTACGTAGCGTACGTCGAGAACATAGCGTAGCGTTCTGCGTGGCCGAACCTTAAGAGGATCTGTATTCTCAGTAAAAATTAAGAACTTGCATATAATAAACAACTTCCACTCACGAAATAACTGAGATCAGATTAAATTAAGGTGGTGCTTTGTACAATGTACATTACAATATTTCGTAATTTTGTTTTCCACTTTTTTTGGCTTCTATGTGCAACTTCGTTTAATATTCACTCTTCTTCTTCTTCTTCTTATTCATCTCTTAATTGCATATCACTACATTTTTCTGCCTAGCCGACCATCATCAGGTGTATAAGTTGTTGTGATGAAGGAATATGCTGTAATATTGTTCTGCTTTCTTTATGCAATTGCCTCTCCTTGCAGAACGAGACTACAGAACAGCAGCAGATTCCTTCGTCACAACTTATACACCTGATCATGGTTGACCGGGCCGAATCGTGTACTGATATATGATAAAGAAAAGAAGACGAGTGACTATTAACCGAAGTTGCACATAGAAGTCAAAAAGTGGAACACAAAGTCAGATTTACGCAGTGCGTCAGGATGCTGCAACATAATAACATTTCATTCCTTCTCCAACATCACGATTGAAACACGGCCATGGACAAAATATGGAGTCCGAAGAAATGCAACGAGGAAAATTCGTATAACAAAACTGATATACACTAAGCTATGCTATGCGACATCGAATGTCGTCACCCTACGTTCCCCTAAGAAGAGCTCTGTTCTGGTGTTGCAGTTCTGACATTAGCGACTGAAGTAGGCTTCTATTTCCACAAGAGTCTTCCCCTCAGTATCTGGAACCCTCCAGTAGACGAAGAAGAAACCCAGGACATTGATAGCCGTGAATATCAGGAAGGAGCCGTAGATCTGCAGATTCTGCTCCATATCCAGGTAGGTCTTGGAGGCGGCAAACAGGAAAACGTAGCACATGGCTGCCGAGAAACCGCTGGAGATACCGCGGGTTCTGCAACACGTACGTTCACCATGTACCAGTCTTGCATTAAGAGACACCAAAGGCCGTACCACAGCTCAGACGGTTAGTCGCCGGCTTCCCACCGCAATGGCTTGGGTTCGAGCCCAGGTCAAGTCATGTGGGATTTGTGGTGGACAAAATGACATTGAGGTAGTTTTTCTCCGAGTACTTCGGTTACCTCTGCCAATTCTCATCCCACCGACTGCTCCACAGTCACCATTATTTATCACCCAGGGCGCAGTGCAATAGGCCAGTAGTGGCCGAAGTACCAAGTGGACTGTCTCACTCCACTCCATGAAAAAAAAATAAGTAAACACATAAAAAGATACACCAACCAAAAATCGGTAAATTATAGAAGATTTGCAGTGATGGTCACATTCAAATCTTGAATATACAGAGTGTATCTGAAAGTTGCGGGCAAAGTTTGGGCACGAGTTCCACACACCAAAGCAAGAAAATGTCCATATTAACATGTGACCGGAAACATTTAATTTGTGAGTTACAGCTCAAAAAGTACATTTATAATAACAGCTCAANGTAAGTACTCAAAATGTCCTCAATGAGTTCCAATGTAAGCCTCGCCACGTCTCATCACGGACCCCCGCATCCGTTTAAAGATGCCGGGGTAGTTGCGGACAGTCTGACAGGCATCCACAATGCGACGGCATTGTCTACAGGAGCTGCATACACAAGGGTACATTCACAGGGATTCAATTCTGGCGAGCGCGGAGGTCATGCAGTGGGTCCTCCTCTATTTATCCATTCGTCATGATGATAAATGTTACTGAGAACATCTCGCACAGCGCAGATAAAATGTGCCGGAGCACCATCATGCATGTACCATATTCGTGCTCTGTCTGCCAGTGGCTCATCTTCCAGTAGTTATGGCAGCTCAAGTAAAAGAAATTATCGAAAGTGGCAGTCTGTGAGCCGATGTGGCACAACATGAAGGTCTACTGAACAACCACCAACAATCCCTGCCCACACATTAATGGTGAATTGCTGCTGCTTGTGTCTACACAGTGTTTCTTTCAGCTATAACTCACAAATTGTTTCCGGACACACGCTGACACGGACTTCTTTCTTGCTTTTTAGAACTTAGATATCATACCTAAAATTTGTCCCCACATTTCAGTTACAGCTTGCAAAAGTAAGCAATATATTCTCCATTGGTTGTCTCGTAGATCACTTGATAACAGAGCAGTCTTCTGGGATTTGGCACCGTGTATATGTGGTGTTAACCGACGTTTCAGAGGAACGTATCGCCTCCATCTTCAGGGTAGAAGAAAAAAATATAATATAAGAATCTGCAAGCGAAGAGACCGTGAGAACCGGTAAAAGCAGACACACCACATATACACGGTGCCAAATCCAAGAAGACTGCTTTCTTCATAGTCACCGCCGTGAAAGCCTCAAATCTTACACTTGATAACACTTTACTAACTACAAAATTTGAATAGCATTAAGAGAAAGGAAGGCTAAATGATGAACTGAAAAGGACACGGAAAGAAAGACTGCCACTTATTTAATGTAGCATTCCAGCATCTTCTGAGGGAACAGAGTAAAATCAGGAAACACCCCAGTCACAGAAACCAGTCATCAGGCAGAGACTTCAATCAGTGACAGCCCAGATATGAAGAAGTACCTGCTAACAACACAAAAACACTGTCACATAGAATCAAGATATAAAGAAATGTGTGGAAGTGAGGAAGCAGGGAACAGGAATAATTGGACAAGAGGAGGAAGTGAAGATGAAGCCTATCCAGTATAGAAGAGTTGCCTCCAAAATACAAGACAGTGAAACTGCTTACTGCAGACATGAAGAGAATACAAAGATTTCGGGAGGAACTCATACAGCCTGCTGGACTAGAGTATCTTGCAGCGCTCATTAAGAAGAGTACGATCAACTGAGTTAGAGCACTGAGTAGTTTCGGAGGAACACCCTAAAGAGTAAGCCAAGCAAGAAGCCGGTCACAGAGAGAGATCTTTTCTTGCTTACCTTACTCTTCGACCATGAAGATGGAGGCATTGTGTTTCTGTGAAACGTCGGCATTTTTCCAAACTACACGGTGTTAAACCCAGAAGCTCATGTACTTAATACATCCTAGTTTCGAAGTGCACAAACTTACAGTCTTACATGGACGTTGCAAGAATACTCCTCGAGGTCTTGTTATTAATGTCATCTGTGATAAAAAGCTATCCCAGTAACGGGCCATGGGGGAGTATAGGATTGTGAGACGTCGAGGTTCCCACATTTTCTAGACAATCGGTTCACAGTTGATGGTGAGGTTATCAGCCTTAGCGCGTGCCGCTCTTTGCCCGCAGGAAGATTCCTGATGTTCATTTCTGTTAGAGCCTGAGTCGACCACAGGGCCAAATGCGGCTTGAAGCGTTAGGTCAATTGAAAAATCCAATGACCTCATCGGGACTCGAACCCGCGACCTTCCCGCTTGTAGTATAGTGCCTCAATCAACTACGCTACCGCGTGCTCCTGTCATCTATTATAATGTACATGTAATATACCACGTATATATTTAGTAATCTTTATGAAATCAAGTGTTTGTAGGGGTGTGAGTTATTCCCATATCAGCGAAGTTTATTGAGGAGCTGTAAAGATACGTGGAAAAATCTGTGATTTAAATTTTTTGTTACGAAATGTTCAATTCTGCCATTCTGTGATCTGGTGAACACTAATTTCAGAGAATATCAGTTTCAAGGAAAGGTCATTTCTTGAGGACATTTCTGAGACATGCCTCAAGCATCAAGTGCATTTCAGTGAACTTGATTACATCCAGAAATTGATTAGGAGCTGATAACCTGTAGAGGCATTTAGACTCGCGTATGATTGAAAGTACTCACAGCGGTGGTTGTGATGAGTTGTATCTTGCTGGATATGACGCGCAAAGTACGTTGAAAATCAACGGCCTAGATGGCGGTATATTCCAGAAGACAGAACTCTTAATGAGAGACAAGTATCACATTTCATGTTGATGCTATCGTCTTGGGTGCGGCATGTAGATACCGGTCTGCAGATGTAGAAATATTCGAAAAATTTCCAGCGAAGCAGAAAAGTGGCTCTAAGCGGAGCCATTCGGGAGTATCCTTTGTGCAATCATTACACAATGTTTACGAAATTTTTATTTTATATTTGGTGTGTAGGATAACTGCGGTATTTATAACGTATAACTAACTAACTAACTCCATGAAGCTGAGTTCTCCTTGAGAAGCCGCCAGTTGCACAGCAACCCAAAAATTTCCCAAAATTTTATAGAACGCGAAAGTTTATCATCATGTACCCAAGAGCAACCCATCGGTCCTTGTCCTGAGCCAGATCAATTTAGTCCATACCACCCCATCTTATCTATCTGATTCATCTTAATATTATTCTCCCGCTTATGTCTAGATCTTCCTAGTTCCCTCTATTCTTCTAGCTTCCTCGCTAAAATCCCGTGTACCATTCTCTTCTCCCCATGCGTACATTTCATCTTCCTTGACTTATTCATTCTAGTTATATTTGGTGAAGAGTACAGATTATGAAGTTCCTCATTTTGCAGTTTTCTCCAACATTTCGTTAATTCATCCCTCTTCAGTCGAAATATTCCTCTCAGCACCGTGGTCTTAAACACACACATTTTATTCTAACTTAAAAATGTGAACAAGCGTTTCCATTATTAAATAAAATTATTGCGGACAAAAATCCATTTGTTCCGCTCAGTGGTGGTTCTGAGTCTAAACGAAAAATTCAAACAAATACGTCACGCATTCGGGTAGCACAGCTGTTTGAGGGAACACTGGTTTCAATGCGATCCATATCTTTGCATAGTTTACAGCGTTACAAACTTTGACAGCTATATTTTATTTATTATGTTTGCAGTTTATTTATTGATGCTACAGTCTTAATAACTCAGGCTACGTAGCATCGAATGATGAACTGGTCTACACTCAGTGACTACGCTGGCAATTTAATGGTCTGAGGAAAACCACGAAAATCCTCAATCAGAGCCAGATTCGAACCTGGAATCTTCCGGATATAAGTCGGGAAGCTTACAACTTGCTCGGTGTTATTGTAAGGAATTCAAATTACGAGGTTGGGGGTGGTCTCTAATGGTGTAACCTGCTTACCAAATTTCGTGAAAATCTCTGAGTCGGTTAAAAGTTGAAGGGGAGAGTCAAGACCACGCAGTAGACGAGAGAACACAAGCGGATACTAACATCTCAGCTTGTAAGATATGGATACAGGCTAACAGAAGAAATAAAAAGGAAATGACAAAATAAAGAAGAAATACAGATAGAAAAAAACCGAAAAGCAATAAAGTGATAATGTAATAAAGGAAGAAGCAAACACTTGTACTCCCGACGCCTCTGCTCATGTCCTACCTAAATGGGAATATTTCGCTGAGCCAATTCCATGGAATGTAGAAGAACAGGCTGTTAAAGAATGCCAGCATAACGACCATCGTGAGTGGTACCCATGGCACAGCTTGGTCAGTGGCGCCGCCTGGCCGCAACACAATGTAACTGTAGATGGTGATGACAAGGCAGCACGCTGCACTGCCGGCTAGGGCCACCAGTGACAACTTTCTCTTGCCGACCCAGTGAACAAGCACAAAGAGACAGACTCCACCGGCCACGCTGGTCACCCCTGACCCCACCTGTGGTAAAAACACACAGCAAGGTTAATCTGACCTTCGGTCACCACCACACGTTTCTTGAATTTACAGGGTCCTTGAAACGTGGGGATTCTCTCTTGCGAAATCCTTGCTCTCACCCAGATCAGAATACGTTCCCAAACCCTAAAGTTTATTTTACTTGTTGTTTTGTATGAACAGGAACTTGGTATCTTATACGGAAGAAAAAAAAACATGGGGAATTTGAAAACAGAGTGGTGGGAAAGAGGGGCAGCGAAAAAGGAGATTAAGATAAGGAGGATGAGCTAGGCAGGACATGTAGTACACATGGGAAGATAATATATATGCACAAAATATTTGCCGGAAAGCCTGAGGGAAGGAAGCCGTTTGGAAGATCTAAGTGCAGGAAGAACAATACTACAGTTTATCGCAAGGACGTCGGAAGTGTGTAGTGAACTGGTTCAGGACAGGACAAAGGTAAAGGCAAAGTTGTCCCTGTGCTTAAGCACCACGTCGTCAGGACGTAGGGAGGGGTGGAAATATATATATTGTGACATGCTGAGCTATGGATGACGCCTCTCCCCCACCCCCCGCCAGCCGTGATGCGCCGAGCGAAGCCGAAGCGAGCCGATGTTAGCCGAGTCCTAGCATCCTGGTCGCTAGGCAACGCAAGTCAACAGCGGTGACGTCACCAAGTAGTAACAGCGGTTACTACCGCTAGCGTTGCTAGCAACACAGCGCCAGGCAACAAGGGTGCCTATTACATGGCCGTATTGTCCGATCGAGGCTACATAAGGAGCAGCGAAGGCTATTCACAGTTAGTTGTACTGAGTCAGTCAGTTAGTCCTGGAGCTACCGCCGAGTGAGTCCTCGAGCTACCTCCGAGTTAGTTCCGAGTTAGCCAGCAACTAGTCAGTTGTATTGTGGCATTTGGAGTGTACTAATTGTGATACTGCAGATAGCAGTAATCGTGAATCTGTAATTTGGGTGATTGT